TTTGTTTCTGCAACAACTATCAGGAGATAGGTCTACTTCCGTCATACTCCGTAAATTGTTCAAAATCCGAAGAAGATTGACTCACGAGGATCAGACTGGTTTTCGTTATGATCAAGGATGCACTGATCATATCTTCACCCTCCGCCAAATGTTAGAACACCGTCATACTTATCACAAGCCAACAATAGTGTTTCTTGACATAAGTATTGCCTTTGATTCGTTGGACAAGATTGTACTCTGGTATTGTCTACTGAAGAACGGTGTGTCTGGGAAGTTTATTAACATCTTGAAAGCCCTATATGAAAACACCTCAAGCAGAGTGAGGGCATACAACCACCTCTCTCCACTGTTCCATTCAAGCAATGGGGTTAGACAGGGTTACCCAATCCCACCATTTCTCTTCAACTTTGCTGTCGATGACGTTCTGTAGACAGTTCTGATGGATGTAGGTAATGGTGATATGGATCTGTTGCCTGGAGAAACACTTCTCAACTTTGAGCATGCTGATGATATTGTCTTACTGCGCGATGATACCCAGGCCATGCAATCCGCACTTAGTCAGTTATCAATTAGTGCCCGTAGGTATGGTAAATGCTTTGCACTTTCCAAGTGCAACGTAATTTTACAAGACTGACAAGACTCTAAACCTGCACTCACCCTGGATGGTGAGCAGATAGAAGTAGTCGAGAAGTTCGTGTATCTGCGCAGTTGCATAAGTGCTGGTGGTTGCTTGAGAGGTGAGATCAATTCACGTATAATGAAAGCCAGAGCGGCTTATGCCAATCTGGGCCACCTTTGGCGCCTTCGTGATGTTAGCCAGGCTGTAAATGGTCGGATCTACAACGTGTCGGTGAGAGCGATTTTGCTCTATGCTTTTGAAACCTGAACTCTCATTGTCGAGGACGTTAAACGACTCTCTCTGTTTGACCGTCGTCTCTGAAGGATTGCTGACATCCAGTGGCAACACGATGCTGGTAATGTAGAGGTTCGACATTGTGTGTTCGGGCACAACGACGATAATTCGATTGATGCTACCATTTTGGAATATCGACTTTGGTGACTTGGACATGTTCTCCGAATGTCGTCCCAGAGAATTCCACGTCGTGCATTATTTACCGATGCTTGGACTGGTTAGAGAAAGCCGAGAGGTGGTCACTGCATGACATGGTGTGGTATGAAGGTAAGCTGTACAGGACCGGCCTCTGTTGGTCCTTTATGACTTCTTGGTTGGGGTCCTAGAGATGGTACAACACGATGGCTTGAGACGTTATCAAACATGGCTCAGAATAGGAGCCGGTAGAGATCATGCTGTAACTTTCTTCTACCTTCTTATCTAAAGTTAACGTAACTTTTTTAACTGAATTTCTGGTTGTATTTTTCATAACGGAACTGGTTCTCCCATTATTATTGGTAGTAGTATCAGTATTTGTGTTAGTACCATTATTTCACTTTTGTACACTAATTTCTGTTCATTTATATTACACTCACCCTTATGTGTTAAAATAAATAAATAAAAGATCAAAATAAATTTATACGGTACATAAACACTGATAGATCTTCCTGATGAGTAAAAAACGTACAGGCAAACACGGAAAGAAATTCATAGTGAAATAAAGTGACGAAAAAGAACATATCAAACTTCTAGATTCAGAAAATAAAAAGCAACTTACACGAAGCTCGCCAAAAAGCATTTCGACAAAATTTCAATTTACTGTTTACTTTTTAACTATAACATTTTAAGAAATCCTTGATAGAGAAAAAACACTGACATACGAATGGCACAGAAATAAGTCATCGGTATTGTGAATAAATAGGAGGAAAATTACAAAATAATAACAAGATGCATTACAGCTGGTCGTAAATATTAATGCAACTAAGGGATACTTCGATCGCGTTAAAAGTGTGTTATTATCCTGAACGATATCTGAAAAGTGTCTAAATCATTGTGCTGCGCCATTCCTAGGGGCTTAATCATAGCATGGTGGTGTGTCGAAAGTAATCATCTTTTAATATGCAATAAGTGTGTCTAGACCATCGAATCCAGTGTTCCAGGACGAAACTAATTATTGAGCAGTGACTTACATTCTACAAAAAACATATAGTCACACTTAAACTGCACAACATTGTCAATGTACGCTAAGAATACTCCTGAAACAGCAGCATTTGAAGATTTTTGACTGGAGAAAATTTATTATATACAGAATACGACTTGCTCTATTAGGTTGTATATCGTCATTAAGGGCTCTAAGTGTATCATGACGGTGTTAACGACATTCAAGATTAGAAGCCACTTCAGTTTTTCATATGCAAAGACTGATTTCGTATTACTGAACTAAAGGCAGTTGATTAACTAGTGATCAACTTTATAGATTCCTTCACTGGCATTACACTTCTTCTCATTGATACTGCGGTTGAGATGCAACATGAAAGAAGGATTTGTAAGGAGCCTAGTGAAACCCAACATTTAAAACTAGGCCATTTTTTTATTATGTAAACGACTTAATGTGTCTTTTTTATCGCATAATGTAAATCCGGTCACTGCTACGCCTTGCTTTTCAGGAGAGGGTTAAAGTTGATAGTTGAGGTAGAAATAATATTTAGCGATAAAGATGGAGATTGAATATGAATGACGCGATCTCACAGGCTACTAAAGGTATGAAAATGGTTTTTGCTTCCCGACTACGTACACTATGGAACGATATCCCTCCCTAGGGCACTTGAGGAAACTGGATTGATGGTGGTCCTAGTGACTTGTGAGCATGACCTCAGAGCACAAGAAAAAATTGCCAGAGGTCAGCCACAGTCTTTCTGTGAGAATTTTGTGGAGCGTTAACACTGTAGTTCAAAAGGCCTTACTGCCAGAAACGGAAATTCGTGGGGTAAAGTGGGGTCAGCAAAGTTGTAGAGTCAACGTTTTCTGACCTCTTCCTTCCATCGTGAAAAGGTAGTATCGCTGCAGATGTTGGGTATCCGAGGTAAACATCTTACTGCTCCCAAACCCATGGACAGTCAGCAATACGACTTTGTCCTCGGACCTTGAAGTGCTGCCTTGTCATACCGTCCTCCAACCGCTATCCGACATGGCAGAACCTAAAGGAGCAAGTGTCTAAGTCAGTATATCTCGGTTGAGTCATTATGATAGGCAAGCTCAACCACCATGTTGGGGTAACAGCTAGTCGGGAGAGGGTTATAGTTCCCCCGAACTTTCCTAGGCAGTATTCAGCTTAGTTGGCACAAAGTATCTTATTGAAGATTAGTTTATTGACTTTTGAAACGAAAGATATATTTGATAGCTACTGAAACGTGATTGAAATCCAGTCAATACGTTTTGAAATTTACGTATCTTAACAAGTCCACATTATCGGTAGCTGACTGTAAGGAGAGTTGAGTTTATGGTTTGGAAAAGGTAATATACCTTGAATACCAGTGGTAGCGTCTCAAACTCTGATGCTTGGTGGCAAAGATTCCGATCTTTCAAGGAGCACCAATTTTCTCAAGAAAATAGACATACTTTGCTGACGTGTCAAATAGCACGAAACCTAGGTCAAGGGTTTAAGTCCACCACCTCCAATTAACTAACACAATATAGCTTGTGGCAAGTTCGCACACGTCAACAGATATAATAAAATCATGTAGACAAATAGAAAATTCATGTTAAACAGCATGAACCTATCACTCAAATAGTTAAGATTATGCCAGATGTTAAAAGGCTACTTTTTTTATGAATACCAAAAATCGTGACTTTCCCAATTAAAGATATTGACATTAATTATTTTTATGCTATAAATAACAAAGTACCTCGAAAAGCGCGAAAACCATACAAATTTTGTAGGTCGTTGACAAGAAAGAAAGTCAAAAGTAATGAGTTTATGCTAGTTACAATCGTCCTAATCTAACAGACATCGTTATATCTCTAAATCGATAAACGGACATTAATTAGTAGACTAGTATTTTGGAGTACGTTTCGCTTAAACATTTCTACAGAAAAGATGAATGTAAGCAGTATGTTACTGTATGCTCATTCAAATAAGCATGAAATTGTATAATGAAGATTTGGTGCTTAAGATGATGAATATTTGATGGTTTAATGATCTTTTTAGGACTATGTGATTTGCTATGAGTGGTATTTTTTACAATAACTTAAACTAACACGTTATTCGCCGTAGCATGCCTACTGTATTACTATTAGTTCGACTACATAAGCAATTCTAGTAATTTTAATAGTCAGTTGTTCCGTCATAATACAAAAATACATTTTTTCAGAAATATTGACTTGATGGTTCAAAAGTGAGGTCTCTGACTCTAGTTTAAACAAACTAAGAAAACCTCCCAGTATTTTGATCTAACAGGAAACATTTTGACGTCGTTACTAAGGAATTTATCAGAACCGAAAGTATACAATTTAGTACTGTAAAGTCGTATGAATATCCTTTTTGTAAGCTTGAAAAAAACACTTATTTTGTAAAGGTACATGACATTTATCTGTACTACCATTCGGTCAGTCATTCACATGCAACGTAGAACTTCAAGCATATGCGCATCGGTCCAAGTTGCCACAACACACTGGCACAGCGAGATAATATTATCAGGAAAATTATCAAGGTATCACAAGTAGTGACAGTATCAATTGTAGTCGAAGGGATTAGATTTCGAAAAAAGGAAAAGGGTGTAAGAAGATTTCAGGAATCAGGTTCCAAAGGAAGGAAAAGTGTGAATGCACCTGCATGATTGGAAACTATTCTGATCCATGTGACCTCAAAACTCTAACCATTGGTTACGACAACCCTGTCTGCCCTAACCATACAGTCCTCATTAATTAACATGGCTAAGTGCAATTGTTGATGACTTCATGGGTTTGATTTGGCCACTGCAATACCATTGACCTATTATTACTACGGTAAATATGCATATATACTGGCTCCCGTAATGATAATAATGATAGTACGAATATATTTTGAAAAAACTAACATTTAAGAAAGAACATCCGGAGTCACTCATACCTTAACACGAATCGGGTCAATACCATATGTATCCAGACTGCTGGCAAGGTGTATCAATTCACTAGCAGCTTCAGAAGGTAAAAAATTCCTTCAAGAAAAAACAAAATAAAAATTTACTACAGATATATGTATAAAACCAATAAATTATACAAGCTAGATAGTAAATTATTAGGCGACCAAAAGCATGCATTAAAATACCACTCATTTTGATAAGTAATCGTGAACATTTTTTTGAAATATCAAATACAATGAGCAACTGATAGTTTTCACTTGCATGTTTCTAACCACCAGTTAGCCACGAATAGAAAACTAATCCAAATTAACAAGATGATGTAGACATATAGCTATTGTGTATGAGTAGAATTATAATGTCTTTACGAAAATAGAACAATTAATTATCACATTAAAAGATAAGCTGGCTGGTGGGAAGACAGACGTATCAGATGTGACAACTTGAAAGTGTAAAAGCGTAGAATTAAATTGCAGAAACGTACGAATAACAGATTGATTTTATACATGACATGGATGAATTGAAACAATTAAATACAAAAGGAATTAAATCATTCGCCAAATGCTTTGAGTATGAACCACACCCTAAGTGTCAGGGTTTATAATGCTACCCTGTTGCCCGAACCGAAGTAGATATAAAGGGACTAGAGGCTGCTATCTAGTGGTTGAAAGTCCAACACTTAAACCACCACCATCGATGAAGTACAATAAGCAAACGAAGGAAAACGATCAGATAGTATCCAACTAGTCAGAATTGAAGTTTTTAAAAATTGAATTTCAAAAACGTAGTAGTTACTTACTCCAGTTTTTCATGTTCTTTTATGATAAGCGATTCAAGGCGTTCAGTCTGATTGTGCAGCACACGAAATTCACGTAAATATTGATGTTTGTCATTCTTTACGGATGTCTCAAGCGGTTCCTGCGCTGAAATGTCTCCAAGTTCCACTGATAACAAATTATGTAATACGATTAACATTACATTTACAATTAAGCAATTATAAAACCAAAAGTAAATTAATAATTACAGGTACATCAAAGAAATGCTTGTTACTAGAGCAATATATAGGAAATACCTACTTACCTTGAACTACAAGTGCAGCAAGTCGGACTAGGACATCAGTCTGTACAACTAATCTCCCACTTATTAAATCACGACGCAATTGATGATAGAGGAGGTAGCTGAAAGAGTAGGATAGAGACCAAAAATTATGTTTTATCCAAGAAAAATCTCTCTAACAAATAACCCTACTTTAAGCAGAATAATTAACAAAACAGTCAACTACCGAACATCAACCTTTTTTAAATATATTACTACCATTGAAGTAACTACTATGAATTTGGTGTTCATCTTGTTGTGCTAATCAGGTATGATAACTTGGACTGAGGTATATGTGTGCCTGATTCTACATTGTAGATGACTGACTGACTAAACTAAATGAGAAAAAAGATTTGTGTAGAAAATGAGTTTAAATAGCTGATAGAATTGTTCAACAGAGAAAATTACCGATTCAAGACGTGAGAAACAACCATACACCTTTATAGCATGCAAATCAACTTATTACCTAAAACATGATTAAAGTCCCAGTTATAACGAAGATAATTAGATTTCTTTATCTCAATATAGAATAAAAAGATCAGTGAAAAGAATTCGGAATGTTGATAAGTATATCTAAAACCTTTAACTTTTTTTAACTTTACAGAGACAACAGTCAGTAACTTGCCTCGCTAAACATGACGAAAATATGGAAATACACTGGATTCCTAACAATTAACGAAGGCAGTATACAGCTCAATCAAGTACATAACAATGAATTTCAAAACCCTAAATGTTATTTAAATGAATCTTTCATTAAGTGAAACATACTACAGACAAATTGTTTATGCAACGTTCCGTCTCCTAGTCAAACATTATTCTTGACTAAATTATGCTAAACTGTCCTTCAGAAGTCTATCTAACTATAAACAATATTCACTTCAAACATTTTCAATTACCGATTACAGGAGATGCTTTACCTCTATAAACCTTGGGTTTAACTTCTTGCTAAATGAAAAAAATCATTTATAAATAAACAGATAGATTACGTTGAGTCAAGAAAAAAAGCAATTGGAACTTAAGACATAAATAATCATTAAAGATAACCAATTTCTATAAAGCGAATCATAGACAATAATTCATAGGTATAATTCCCAAGGTTAAACTTGATAGTTTCAAACAAATTGAGCATTGGGTATAAAGTTAATAATAAATATGTTTTTATGACATCCCAATAAGTAGAAAATTATATTTCTGGCGTTTTGCGACTTAGTGTAAGTCACTTATTTACTTAGAGAACAAAACTACATCGAAATTTTGAACCATGTCATTCAAAGTCTCTAACCATTGGTTAAGATAATTACGTGGACCTTAAGCAGTTAGTCTATACCTATTAACATGACTCAGTCCAATAACCAATGACTTTACTAACTGATACCACATCTTTGTTTGGTCGCCCCTACCTTTCTTCCAACCTAATCCTACACCAGAAAACATGGTTGGGCATGCGTAAAACATATCCCAACCACCTCAGTTGATGGTTTACTACCTCGCCAATCGAGTTCCTATCTTTACCTATTACTCTATGCCTAACTTAGGCATTGCTTACCCCGTAGTCCCAAAATACACGAGCAATGCTTCGTAGACAACTATGATCGAATGCGATTAACCATTAAGTTAGACGATAAAAGTGTTGCCTCTAAAACCATGCCTGTGACAAAGTTTAGTAATGATAGGGAAAGTAGACAATTCTGATGAACGCCACCTGAAGAAACCAATTCTGATGAATGTTCGCCATAACCTTCTGAATCAACCAATAGTAGTAGCACTTCACCAAGTTCAGCAAAATGAAGCGTAACCTGGTTACCAGAATGCATTACTAAGATTAAATTGAAGGTTTTGCGCGGAAAATTATTGCAACTCAGTCAAATTACTAGTAGCAAGAAACTTAGTACCAGTAAAACAATCTATGAACTTGATGAGCCGATTAACAATCTATAACGAACACCAACCTGCCCAAGGATGAATTTCAGAAAATGTTCGGTTAAAAATCCATTTTAACGAAGGTCCTGAGTTTTTCATAGTGCGTCGGTAATTTTATAAATTAATGAGCTGTGTAATATAGATTTCCATTTGAAAAAATAAAAGACTTTGTTGAAAAGAGATGAAACATTCGAAAGAAATATATATGTAAACTCACTGGGATTTAGGTAACCTCAAATCAACAATCGGGTCAGCTGGGTAATGCTTAACACGAAAGCTTACTTGACGAGGATAAGTGTCTGGAAAAAAAGAGAGTAGGTAGAAATGAAAGTAAAAGACAATATTAATAAGTACTTAGTTCTAGAACAATCCTTTAAATTATTCTGATTTAAAATGCTGCAGACTAAAAGTAAATCAAGTTACTTGGAATTACGTTGACCAAAATACTGTTATTTTAACACAGTTTGTGTTATTTAAAGCTTAGTCAGGAGTTTACAATAAAAGACTCTCATCATTTACGGTTATCTCTAAGATCAGTAAGGACTCACTGAACCCATGAAGTTTGATAATCACACCCAAACAATTGTCCGAGTCAAACCAAGTCCGGCAAAAAAGGGTCGAGTGTCACTGATTTTAAATAAACCAATTACAACCATTATTATTATCTGTAGGTATCATTACCAAGGTTTGATTTGATAATTTCGAATAAATTGAGCATTGGGTTGATTGTTATAAATAAAAATAGTATATTTGTAATATCCCAATGAGTAGAAAATTAGATTTTCTGACGTTTCGTGACTTAGTGTAAGCCACTTCTTCAGGAGTAGGATATTACAAATATATTATTTTTATTTTCATTATTATTATTATTATCACTTTTCTTTAACGTAACATAAAAAATAGATATTAAGGATTAGTAAATCAAGCTACAAGAATGTAAACAGTTACAAACTTCCTATTGTTGATTAGAGATTTATTACATTACATTTAACTTACGCTTGAGTTGTGATGATAAATTTCTCGTAAGGTCGATCCAACGCTGTAAATAAATTTGGATTTTTAAAATGTATCGAAATAGTTCGACGTACATAAAAGCAACATATGAAACTAATTAATGTTTAATCGTAAAAGCATTAATATTATGAGACTAAAATATTAAGATTCACTATTACCCAATGCTTCTCACTTAAATTTACTGGCTGTTTGATAAAACAGATTATTAAACTCCTTATTTAATAAGTAACTACCTACTGTGATATTATGTTTGAATAGCTAGTATGGAAATACGTTTTGTCTAAGATAACCAGTCGGTTGTTCAAGTGTTTAATTTTTTAAATCTAATAATTGATGACTTGGAGCCAAGTACTATGAGTGTTTATGTGTTGAACTACTTCGATCCTTCACTTCACTCCAGAAAACTGTATAAACATACTGAAGTGATCATGTGGTGTCACTATAGTTCACCAAATCAGATGGTATATAGTGTCTAGTTTCTAAATTGACTTTACTGTACTGTCTTCTGGCATGTAGCTTCCTAGGCACTGATATATAATACATGGGTCTCCGATAAACCTAAAATACAAGAAATGTATTCAACTTGTAGTTCGACAGAGATAATATTGAAATTTATGTATTTAGTCAAATAATGAAGGTGACAGTTATTGTACACTACGTTTAAAAGGGATCATGACGAGTTATTTCTAAATTACATGTATCTAACCAGTTGCTTTACCTTTGTTGGAGACGAAAGCATTTCATGTTCCAGGTAACGAAGGCCGAAATATTCACGTTCCTGCATCACTCCTTGTTGACAACAGATTTCTTCAAAAAGCCATTTTCCAGAGGCATCCTCCTATAAAATAAAAGTGGAGGAAAACTTAGAGTAATAGGGATCTACCCATAGTTTATCTGATACTATAATTTTCAAAAGGACATATGCATCCACAAAAATTTATATTCAACATCGCACTTAATGGAATAAAAGTAGTGAGTTCGCGATGACATAGATATCTGAACCCTAATAAATGTGACGAAGCTCCAATAACTATGTGTCTCCTAACTATTGCTTCTATGACTAAAGCGTCTGGTTATAATTGGTAACCAGTCAAGTAAAAATGAATTTCATTATCGCTGTAAAACAACTGAACATCAGATACCAGACCACCCTATTCGTAACTGTCACATATTATACAGGTTCTAAAACAAAACTATTTTTAGATACGGGCGTCGGTTGAGTTAAATATGGAGTAACTTTCCAAAATTATAGGGCTTATTATCTCCCTAGGAGTTTTATATGCCAACGCTCGTAGTCTAAAAAATATATTCTATGAACTAGAAGCATTCGAGGACAAATTAAGACCACTCATTGTAGCTGTGACAGAAACTTGGTTAATCCATAACTTCAACATTATTCCAGAATTATCCGGATACTACTACCTAAGAAGTGATAGACATAGATATAGGAAACGAGGTGGTGTCCTTTTATACATAGCCAATAATATAAGTATCTGCTTCTCTGTTTGTGAATCAAATGACAATGAAACTTGTGAAGTCATTAGCTGTGAGCTCACTCATTTATTTATTTATTTGAACCCATAAATATTGGTACAAAGAGGCATCGAACACATATGCGCCACACAAGTCACTTGATTCGTGTGTGGGCTGTGATACTGCCCGAGTGCCCAGACCGGAGCAGGTGGTTTTCTTAGGGGGCCACACCCGAAGCCCACAAGGCAGTGGAGCAACGTCAGAAGATCCAGTCCCATGGTAGATGGTGGCCAGTAATTGGTTCATACGTTATTTATTCCCTTAGGATCCTGGAGCCCATGTACACGATTGGTTTAGAATCAGGGTTTTCCAACTCTTCTAAGTGAATCCTCCATATCCACCACTTTCGGATGTTGTGCATTTATACTCGGTGTCATCTTTCGCAGCCCAACCTGCTTAGCTGATGACTTTATTTTAGAGCACATCCAACCATGAGATGCAAATAACAGATGCTTGATGTTAGGAGAATTTAATGCACCTAATATTAGTTGGACTGAGATGGCTTCTGTACGATCTACAAACTCCTTTGATGATAGGTTCATGATAACGGTAATGGAGCATGTATTAGTATAGCATATATCCAAACCCACACGTTTTGGTGCAAACAAAGGTTCTTCTCTGTTGGACGTAGTAACCACTCATGCAACTGAGGATATTCCCAACCTAAATGTTCTTCCACCGTTAGCGAATAGCGATCACACCGTTTTGTCATTCACGTTTAGAGCTAGTGACATGATATACGATCAGGTTAAGTTTCACCCAAATGTATGGAGAGCAAACATATCAGCCATTCAGAAGTGCGCTGCTAAGACATCGGTCAATAGATACTAGCTCATCAGTAGAAGAAGCATAGTCTATATTTAAAGGCAAGTTTGGTTCAGTTACGTCGTCGTTCATACCTGGTACCACGTAGACCGAATAACAGTCCACCATGGATAAGTAAACAAGTCAAGAAACTTCTTAGACGCAGGAAAAAGCACTGGAATATGTTCACCTCTACTAGCTTAGAACGGTACAGATCCAGTTATTGTGTGATTAGGAATGCCTGTAAAGCGTTAGTAAGTAAGACTAGACGGTCATATGAAAAACAATTGGTTAGGGATTGTAAATATAGTCCGAAAGTTATTCTCGTATATAAAAAGGCAAACTCAGAGAAGCGATGGAATTCCATCACTTTTGATACAATAAAATCCGTTAATATTGGCAAGAAATGATACCGAAAAAGCTGAAGCTTTATCGGAATATTTCAGTAAAGTGTTTTCGATCAGTAATCAGGAACAACCAACGATTCATTGAGATTATGGCGGCTTGTTGATGGACCCTGTAGTTATTGAGAAAGGTACTGTCTTAAGACTACTTCAGCATCTCAAACCTGATAAGTCCAGTGGTCTAGATGATATTCATCCTAGGATTATGAAATCCGTATCAGATGTAATTGCTGAACCTTTAGCGATATTGTTTGATATGTCTGTGATAGTCCGGACTGCCCATAGACTGGAAACACGCGATAATTAGTCCGGTGTATAAGGCTGGGAATAGAGATTCAGTTATTAACTATCGATGCGTTAGCTTGACTACTACAGTTGTAAAAGTACTGGAGAAGATTATCCAGATGGCTGTTATAAACTATGTGGAAGGGCAAAATCTTTTATCCAGGGAACAACATGGTTTTCGGAGAAGCTTATCATGTTTGACATATCTCATTGCAATAGAAGATTGGGCTGTGGAAAAAGATCGAAATATTCCTGTAGATGTGATTTTCATAGATCTAAGTAAGGCATTCGATGAGGTCTCTCATTCTGGTCCCAAATTAAAACTGGGAAGTTTTGGAGTCCATTTTACAGTCATAGACTGGATAAGTGACTTTCTCCATGGCAGGAGGCAAACAGTACGGGTAAATGGAGCTTTCTCACCATGGGAACCTGTGAAAACGGGAGTTTCCCGAGACGCAATCCTCGGTCGTCTTCTCTTTTACTTCATGTAAATGGACTACCAACTGTAGCGAAATCATCCGTTCTACTCTTAGCCGATGACATAAAGCTTTCGAGACCCATACACAGCATGTCAGATAGAATAGTATTACAGGATGATCTCAGCTTATTGGTGGCATAAATGGACAGATGGTCACTAGAAGTAATTCCTAACAAGAGTGTGGTGATGCAATTAAATAACTATGGTTACTCATATCACTACACAATATGTGGATTCGTTTACCCAAAGTAAGAAACTATTAGGATTTAGGAGTCGTACTAAGCAGTGATCTCAAAGCTACCAGTCACTGTAAGGCTGCTGCTGCAAAAGGCTATAGGGCATTGTGGTCTATTCGTAGGTCTTTTCAGTATTTGAATGAAGAAATTTTCAGATTATTATACCCGACTTTCGTGCGCCCACATTTAAAATATGGGATTCAAGCAGCGAGTCCCTGTTTCAAGTACGAGGCGGATATGCTGGGGTGAGTCCGACGACGAGGGACAAAGATGGTAAAAGGTCTATCTGGCCTATCTTATGAAGATAACCTGAGACACCTTATTCCCGTTATCTTACCGTAGAACACGGGGTGATCTAACACTGGCTTATCGTATACTGAACGATGACCTTGGTATTAATGTCTTATTTTTTCCTTCCGTCAAGGACTGATCATTTGAGAGGACACTCAAAAAAGTTCAAAAACCGAAATCAAATCGTCTACGTTTGGAGTTTCGCTTCTCGCATCGAGTGGTGAATTACTGGATTTCTCTACCAGAACACGCAATATCAGCACCTTCTGTTGATATATATTCAAAACGAGATTGGATCTCGTGTTACAAACTGCAAGGATTAATATAGGTCGATAGACCTATCCTTATTACTGAAGACTGAAGATATACCTCAACTTGTAAAAGACATATGTAAATCACTCTTCAAAGTTAACAAAACTTTGAAACCTATGATGTCTACTTATCCTTGAATTACATACCAGTTACTAACAAACAGTGAGCAGTTAGATTTTGAATAAACGAGTATTAGATCGAAAGTTGTTGAAAGTTAGATATACTTTTTAACAAGTGTATGTGGATTTAAAACTATATATAAGTGGTTCTCAGTGTGAAATTTAATGAACCGGTGTGCACATAGTAAAAAGACTTAGATCTGAAGTTATGCACATATAAAAATGAGTAAAATCAAATCTTACCGGCACGTTTATTTCTTCCATTTTTTCGTCTTCTAATAGTCTCACCGAGACAACAAAGTATCCTTGTGACATTACTACTGTAAAGCAGAATATGCCGGAAGTGTAGAACGTAAAATTATGTTATTTAATCGTTCAGTAGCTAGTTTAGGAGGATAACTGTTAGATGTTGATCTAATTGTTTATCGATTTTCATACTCTTCCAAGTGTGTTAACATGAAAAGGTTGTGGAAATGTTGATGGTAATCATTTCAATAATTGAATGTGAGACTCACTGAATGTGATTTATCAAAAAGCAATAAGGACAACTTCAGCAGAAATGTAGCGCACTATCGCATTAACGAACGCAAAAATGTACGAACTCCAAGTTTAAGGTACGACGTACGATGTCCAACAACTTCATCTCGACTGTTCTGAACTACCTTTTAGATTTTAATTACTTGCATTTGTTCACTTGACCGCTCCTGTAATAATAAAAGACCTGAGTTTTAGCAATAAGAACCACTCTATGTCTTACAGATAATTTGGGTTTCAAGAGTTGGTTTATATAAATGTTTGTACTAGGTTTGACTCCTGATTAGATTTTACTCAACAAACTTGCTGCCTCGGAAAAGTAATTCAGCACGTAATTGACGTGGGGATCATTAAACAACTTAACAACTCCTCGGACTATCTATTTCATACTAAATCCAAAAATGATCTGGCACTTGATACGGATATTCAGATTTTGACAACGCTCTATCCGCAAACCTGAATGATGGAAGTGTGCCGAACACTCATATGAAGAGTCAGGAAACAACCACTTTAAACACCTACTTGGAAGGTTGCAGGTATGTTGAGGAGCGTTTGATTTAATCTGGCTAGTAGTTGCAAGGTATGTATGACCTACCCACTCGTGATCTGGCATGGATGAGCAAACAAGTGTCTTTAGCTAGAGTATGTCCAGTAAAACCTACAGGAAAATTAATTTTGTAAATTTACATACAATCCCACCCATTATGGGGTAGTGATGAGCCTAAAACGTGATCTGCTATAAATTTAAGGCCAATGAGCTTGCCGCTGATGATCACTTTTTCAAAAGCTTGTCATATGCAGCAGCATCTGATCGTCTTTTCATATTAAGTTATCATTACAATGAAGTCTGTATCATCGGTAACAATTAGACATTACTTGTAAACTGATATGCTTCACATGACATATTGTTATTTGTGAATACATATTATTACTAATATTAAAGGTTTCTGTTGAAACTTGAATATAAATTATTACTTCTGGAAAAATCAAGTACAGTTTTTTCAAAAGGTAATATTTAACCCAATATAAATATCAATAACAAAGGTTTTGAAAACGGCTTGTTACGACATTGTTTTTATTTCAAGAAGCGTGCTTCAATTCTGTGTGAAAAAGTAAGACATTTCTGGCATGTTAAAGCAACAAGGTCAGAAAATAGTAACAAACCAGTATGGAAGTAGATGTAATCAAAATGTAGCTTATGAGAATCACAGAACTACAGTAGAAACATGAAAAATTGCGATAAAAAAAGTAAATTGTAACCGTCTAACCTAAAATCTAATGATGAATGAAAATCACAACCGAAAGGTTGGAGCAGAATAAATTAAAGGTGTTTACGTGGAAGGCTTTTTACATAAGACCATAAAAATTTTTCCAGAGCAATTCTACCAATAATTGTCAGATATAACTCTACAAATACATCGCAGCCATCCAGCTAGTGTTTCTTCTTGCTTGACGAAAATCCTTCCTAATCCAGCCATTAGCTACTGAGTTTCATAGTCGAATCCCGTCCGTGAACAACAGATCTCCGTCAATTTACTGTCTGCTAAAAATGTACTTGCTGACTGGTCAATGCTATCTTGTACCAACTTTAATACGTCAGAACATCGTGGTTCGACATCATCGTCTTCCATCCTATTGCTGACTTTCACACAAAAATGGATGAGGAGACTCATCTTAATTTTTTCTAATAGTGACATCGAATTTACACAGCGAAAAATTATCCTAGAAGCTAGTCAAATATTTGACGTCATCCTTGATTTGACATTCCCTCACTTTTTTCACTTCACTCTTTGGACACTCAAATGTGGCCTACATAAATGCGAGCATGAATGTTCCTTGCTTCTTCACGACTCTGGTTGAGAGGTAAAAGACTAGAATATCTGGCAGCACTTACCGTAATACCCAGTACACTGACGAGGCAGTTACGTTAATTTTGGTTCCTCACTTTAATCTTCCCCTGATAACATCATGTCTGTCTCCCACACAAAACTTTATTCTAACTGACAAACACGTGTGTACATGCTTTACGAGCACCATTAATGCATTACCTAGACAAACTACAGGACCTATCTCGGCCAGTGTGACATAACACTCAAGTTTACTGTCAAACCCATCAATGCAACTATTATAGAAAAAATTGCGACTCTCCATACAGGCAGCCATACGAACACATTCCTTCGAAGATACGGGATTTGTAGCGAAGGCAGATGAGTACCGGTACTCAACCGTTCCAAAAATTACCGCTGATTCATATTAAAATCGAGATGAATAGTAAAATGGGTTAGTTAGGACAAACCAAGGCTTAAGTCCGATTAGGAAATAAAGTTAGATACAGATGAGACTAAAACAAATTGAACTGTTGTGTTTGGAGTGTGAGCGTCCATGTCATATTTACGTCGAGACTCCAAATTGTTTATTTTGTGACTTTCTAGGGTAACATACTATATATATATACTTCTTGCACTTTACTATCATAATTTTTTTGACGTATGCTTCTAAGAAATGACATTCTCTGAAATATACATTATTATTATTATTATTATTATTATTATTCACAAACATCTTATGGGTACATAAGTGTTGTGAAGAAACCATTTCGGGTTTCTTCAAAAAATGCAATAATACACAATTTTCAATAATGTCAGCATTATACTTGCCATTAAAAAAATTAGAGCAATAATAGTAGAATATTAATAATAATAAATCGGGTCTGTGCAATTGAGAAGAATATTGAATTGAGTTTAAAGAAGAAAATGGAGAAAATAAGGGAATAGAAATAAAGGAGACGTGAAACACGCAAACAGTCTAATAGGCGTGTTTATGAACACAGAACAAGAATAAACGACTATGTGTGTATCGTTAAATTAGTAACAAAAATAATGAAGAAAAATAACTTATAATTGCAGTAAGATATGACGCTAGAATAAATGTTTCTGCAGTTATAGTTTAGAGTGATGCGATGAAAGTCTACAAGAGAGCTTATTTGTAACGGTTCATTGGTTCTCGATTTGCAAAGCAATCAACCTTATGAACGCATCGCGCAATAATAAGACAGACTTTTTCAGACTCTTCTCTGATCTTCCCTAACCCTGCCATGTATAACAGTAAGAATATCACCTGTACTGTGCATGTAAAGACCGAAATTCCAACGTTCTGTGTCAACGCAGATCTTGATAGCAAAAATCAAAGTTAAGTTGATTATGTCAAACCACATTTTTCTGCGTAGCTTATTTACTCTTTTTGAGCTACTAATATTAGACTACACAAGCTTCACTCGAAAAAAGTACGGAGAACTTACAACCAAAGTACAAAATACCTTAGGATCACGGTCTGTACCATATACTCGCAGGTTAATCAAGCACAAATTTGGTTGAAAAGGGTCGATAAAAGACCGATAAGTTGTAATTGTATAGGTTCTATTCATATGATACTCAAAGCTGAACGTCAAATAATCGAGGAAATTCATGTTCAAAATTTAACACGGAGGGAAAGTCAGTAATTGTGAACGCAGATGTAAAAGATAGAAATGGCATCGCTCAAACACGCATGCGTGGTAACCTCTCGCAAATACTTGCTTTTAGTGCCAAATATATTACTCTCTTTTCAGCTTTAATATGTCCGTCAAAAGTGCTAGACGTCATATTGCTGATTTTCAGTGTACACTACGATGTGACTTCCACGTTAGATCTTGTAGAATTTGTGGTCATATAAAGACAAATCTACAATTTTGTGATTGGTCCTAGTAGTATAATAGCAAATATAAGTGTACCAATATCGAAGTAGACCATATTTTTACAAAGTACTCAATGATCAAAAAAGTGTTGCCAACAAAGCGGAATCACGTATCTATCCTCAAGGATTTGAACAACAATTTCTAGCAATCAAAATACAACAGAGATCTGTGATATTGAAGTTGTTCTCCTACGCTCACCACTTAGACTCATGTTTTCAATTCTATGCTGGATTAACTATTCTACCAAGACAAACTATAACATGCTAACTTAGACTTTTACATTAAGACTGTGTGGTAGGCATCGGATGAGGAAGCAAATTGTAGAACTATGGTCTACTATGATATATGTACTGCTCTAGTAATAGACCTAATCCTAAATTTGTAGATTTGTCATGATATAACTGCCTAATCTATAAGATCTTACGTGGAAGTCACACCATCGACTACACCAACTCACTGTATCGTATCAATTACCAATACATGATGTAGAACAAGGTTAGGTTAGAGAAGGAACAATATATTTAATATGAATAGAAGATATGACGTAACATTCAGATGGACCACGCCTGCATGGCCGAGCCATGCCATCCGATCAACCCAGTCCATTCAATTCATTGTCCGCGCCTTCTCCATTGTTGGGTATTTCTCCGCGTTAAACGTTGAATATCTATTTCCTGAGTAGTCTCGTGTTCACAGCTTTGTGGATTGTGTGGCTATTGTCCAATGCCACTACACTACTCTCCCACCAGAATCAACGTGATGTTGGTTCGATACCAAATTGGATGGGATCGTCGCGCGCCGGAGGTTACCAAGGATAATAAGAATCCTCCGGGTATTGGTAAGCTGAAAGATAAATCAAAAAGAAAGCGGCAGCATCTGGTCGGGAAATACATGTAATAATTTTAAAATATCTGCCTTCATGCTTAAAACGCTTGAAATGAAAATTTGGGTGAAGATTATTTGAGCTATAAAAAATGGGGTTACAATAATAATAATAATAAAACGATGCGTGTTAATAGCCGTTGGTTAATAACTTAACGTATAGGTAGTAAGTATATTGTGTTTAGAAATATTAAAGTAATGAATATTGTAGAAATGTTAATATTGGTATTAGTTTTGGTTTAAATTATGAAATCAAATAACGAGTATGCCGGTAAGTTGTCCATAAGAGTTGATTTCCAATTGCATCTGTATTAGTAGGCTAACTGAAGGAACAAAGTATACTGTGGAGAAGAATTCCAACTAGTGTTCCTGTTAGTTTGATACGGTTTATTTAGTTACGGGGAGACTTACTCAACCTCATTTTTACTTGACCGTGATAGAATTTAGTAA